TTATATCCAAATAACTTTCTTTTATTCATAGATTTCTTTACACTCTAGTTATAAAAGCATTTTGAGAGAGAATTTCTAGTTGAAAAATTTGTTGATGATAATTAACAGCTTCATCTAACTCCTTGATATTGTCTTCAATTTTTGGATTAACGGTTCTAGCTCAACGTAGCTTTTCTTTATAATTTGATTTTCTAACAAAGCTTAAAGCATAATAACAACCAAGAGGGTATTTTAAGCATGTCGTACTTGAGATTGCTAGCATAATCTCTCAACTTCACCTCTTTAAAGTAAAAGGATTTTTAAAGCCTTTTTCTTATGATAAACCCTAATCAATATAGGGTAGTGGTTGAGAAAGGATAGTAATGGATAAATAACTATAGCTTTTGGGAGAAGAAGATGTCACTCCTCGTTAAAAATATTGTCATTTATTTTGGCTTTTAAATTAGTAATGTCATTTCTTTCATTACGCTACATATATTGATTTTCACAAAACTCGAATCAATAAGCCTAATTGATTAACTACTTACACTAGTTTTATATTTGTTTTAGCATATATAAGTTTTTGAATGCTAACTCGTACTCATAATATAATCAAAATCATTGATTATAATATACGAGAAATAATAGTTTTATTAATTCAAGAAGATTTTTTTGAAAACTTTATTTTTTTCAGTCAAGCAAGAGTTTCATAAAACCTTATGAGAATCCATGATTCGTAAAAGGATTTTGTCATTAATAAATTGTTTAAGTTGATGATTCCACTATTAATATTGTTTTCGGTGCCTAACACAATCCATTTTTTTGGCTTGTAACCTCCCAAACAACATGATGAGAAATTCACTATAAGCATATTGGTTTCAATTAAATCTCCATATTGTTTCGAATCAAATTTATCTATGTGTTTATTACAACTTACTAGATTAGTTTGTAAAGAGTGACATTTATTACAGTATGATTCATAATATTTTTTATTATGATTAGTCCTTGATATTTTTAATGTATTTTAAATATTTATTTTTTTTATTTTTCTTAAAAAAATGTTCAAATTACTTAAATAATATTTGAATATTTTAAAAATAATTTTAATTAATTAATTAAATTAATAAATTACGACAATATTAGATATATAATTAAATTTCCATATGCTTTGTGTTTATTTCGTCTTTATAGCTTTTTATCAACGTCTACTATATAACTTGTTAATTTAATATTTTTATCTATTTATCTGAAATAGATGAGAACATATTAATAGGTCAGGTACCTCTATACCCATCTCTCGAATTCATAAAGATACATAATATTCTATCTAAATCCACTATACAACCCGTTAGTTTTAAGATTTTTATCCATTCTATTTGAAATAGACGGGGCGAATCAACAAGTCACATACCCTATTATGCTCATCTCTAGTGTTCGTTCATAAGGATACATATGCATACAATTTATGATTTTAGGGATTCCAAATTGAGAGATATAAAAGAACTGGTCATGTTTATAAATACGAAAACTAGAAGCCCTAGCGAACAAGAAAATCCCCAATTCCCGTACTTCTACAAGTAATCAGCTCGTCACTCCATGCTCTTCTGCCCTTTTTTATTTTTCATTTAATTGATCTGCTTCGCTACTAGTTAGTGTTTTTTGTTTTTGTTTGTTTCCTAGGAATTTGATTTTTCATAGACAAAATTTTCATAGCTCTAGCAAATAAAAATCCCATATCAAAATATTAGACAAGAGAAAAAACGAAAATCCAATCAATCAAATTCTTCGGCTAGGGTTTGCTTTTAAATTCACTGTAAAGAAACCGATATAAGGTTCTCGCATGAACACTAGTTGTGAAATTCATAACTCTATTTCTCCTTTTTTATTCAGAGTGTTCCTCATTTTCCTTTTCGTTAAGAGCTTGGTAGTGGGCCTATTTTTGTAAGTAAGATATACTTCTGTTTGCTTGTTCGATTTGTTGAGGTTTTGATCGAGGCGTTGTTGTTAGGTCCTCATTGTATTTATTGAATTTGAGAAATGGACAAGAAGAAATTGGCTGTGCCGCTAGTGTGCCATGGGCATTCACGCCCTGTCGTCGATTTGTTTTACAGCCCGGTAACCCCAGATGGGTTCTTCCTTATTAGTGCTAGCAAGGGTATGCTCTTTTTTTGCTCTTTCTGTTGATTATGAATTTTGATCATATGGTATAAATTTCGAATTTTTGTAAAATTGTCATTGAGGGTGATCAGTTTGTTATCAGCCTATTTTTGAAATTTGAATTCATTCATTTAGATTTTTGATCTTTTTTCCCCTCTAGGTTTTTATGTTTTATCTTCAATTGTAACTAATCTGTTCGTTGTAATTTGGCATTCAATTATCTATGACTTAATTTAATACTCATTGATTCAATTTTTCTATAATCCTTAATTTTGGTACAGCTGTGAATTTGAAGAAAAAAATATTCTTTTCTTTAAACAGCAATCTAATGCGAATGTGTTTTTTCGGCTACATATTTGGAAATGGTCACATATTTTTCATTAGTTTCTTTATATGGCCATTTACCGATTATTTTCCGCTTACTATCTGAATTTGATCACATATTTTTCATTAGTTTCTTTAGATGGCCATTTATCCATTATTTTTCCCGGCTGTCAATCATAAATATGGATCGATTATCCTTTCATTGGTTCTTTGCTGGTCAGTGTGTTAATTGTAACTATAAATTTCAATTCAACATCATAGTACAACTTGCATTTTCTTAAGATACTAACTTAGTCATCACTATTTATTTACTGTCTTATTTGGAACTGGCATTTTCTTTTTTAAAATTTGACTTCATTATGCCAATGTTCATCGATGGATCTTATGCAACATTACTAGTAACTAAATTTGTAAATATTTTTTGACATCTACTTGCTTAACTTCAGATTCTAGTCCAATGTTGAGAAATGGGGAGACTGGGGATTGGATTGGAACCTTTGAAGGGCATAAGGGTGCTGTATGGAGTTGCTGCCTTGATACAAATGCTTTGCGAGCTGCATCTGCTTCTGCAGATTTCACGGCGTATGTAGTTGACCTTAATATTGTTAAACATTGTTTACCCTCAATTTTTATATTCAAGTTCTATTTGCAAGAAGAAAACCATTCTAATGCCTGTTAGTGTTTCCATTTTCGCATTAGAAAAAAGAAAAATTGTAAGGATTTTCATCTTTCATACTGGACAATACAACATAATCTAACTGGGCATGAAAGAAATATACAGTAGTAAATCAAATGTGTATATGTGTTTTTCATTTTGTGTGGAAATTTACCAATCTTACTGCTTTTTTTTAGATATCTGTCGTTCCAAGTTTTTCTAGATTTTATTCTACTGTCAAGTAATTGTTTGGATGCTTTCTCTTAATATTTTCTGTTCTTCAATGAAAATTGGCCCCATTAGTTCATAACTTTCATGATCTAATGCCATTTAAATATATCTGGTTAAATATTTTACCATAAGTGTGCAAAAAGTTCGATTCAACAATCTATTTATGGCCTCATTAATGTTTAATATTGTAGATCAGTTGGATACTTTTCTCTTTGAGAGATTTGAAAATACTTTGGTACTTGGGCGGCAATCCCCTTGGTGCCTTGTCAATATTTGTCTTTTCTTCTCTAAATAGATGACTATCTCCTTGTGGGGTCATTAAAATTGCATATCCTAATGGAGATGGCGAACTCCAGCTAAACTTTTTATATCAACAATCACAGTTTTCATCAAAGCATTTTTTTCTCCACATGTATGTGTTGTCTCAGTTTGCTCAGAATAACTCGAGAAATGTGAATTATGATAAGGGATTCTGTCAGCATAATATAGATGCTATAATACATGCCAAACGATTATGGATGTTTTTCAAATTAGGAAAGAAATGGTTAATCACTTTTAGACTACTAAACCTCTCTCGTCTCTCTCTGTGTCTCTTTCTCTGTCTTCATCTCTCACATGCAGTAACTGTTAAGACAATGTGTGAGTATTATGACCACTTAAGGGAGCACTAAGATATGCTACTTCCTCTATCATTTGCAGGAAATTGTGGGACGCATTAACTGGTGATGAATTGCATTCTTTTGAACACAAGCATATTGTTCGGGCATGTGCATTTTCAGAGGTAGAGCTGACTTGTTTTTTCTTCTTTAGCTTTACCTTTTATCATTTTGAAAATTAACTTTGAAAAGGAACTAGTTGTCTTGATATGCCTGTGAACATGCATGTTATTTGTAGGATGAGATGGTTGGTCTAACTTATGCGACTTTTTCAAATAAAATTCCTAATAGTTTAAAGAATTGAAACCATTTGATTTCCATTTCCTATGGATTTTGGGGTCTTCTGGTTGACCTCGGACTCTCTTGAAGTGTCTGCCATTGTATTTTACTGACCCCTACTGGATCTTCCTTCTCAGCATAACATCTTTTTCATCTCTACTTTGTTTTCCTCGTTAAACTTATATTCTTTGGAAAGAATTATCAATTGTCTTAAATTTGTTTTTCTTTTTATCATATCATTGTAAATATTATATAACCACATGTTGATTTTCTGAAAGTGATGAAGCAAGCTTTTGATGGTAAGTCGGATGGTATTAGGAGAATAATTTAATTGTTTATTTACATTATTATAATCTATTAGTATTAGTATTTTATTGTAGTTTAAATTCTTTTATATTTTTATATTTTCGATTATAATTCTAGTTTAGGGTATATTAGGATTAAATTAAAGCCCTATATATGCCATTTGTATGAGCTGCCATTACTATTGCTCTAAGGAGTTTCTCAATCTTTTGGTTGTATGGTACAATCTGCAATTGAGTTTGATTCTCAAGAACTCCTTTCAGTTGATTTTGATGCTTAAGAACTCCTTTTCCCATTTGTGATGTCTAAGAAGCCTTAGACATCATTTTCAGGTTAATCCCATTAGGCAAACTAATTCCTAGGCTTTGTTCTTTGATTTGGAGGAGCTGTCCTTCATTTTTGGTTTGTGTAACCCGGTTTGGTGCAGAGGCAGTAATTTAACTTCCCAAAGGGTTTGTTGGGAAAAATTGGATAGACGTACCTCTATTCCGAGGGATGTCAACATTTTATTTTACATTAGCCACATAAAGATCTTCTGTTATCCAATGCTCGGTTCACTTGCTTGTTCAGTGAGGGTAGGATTGCTTATTTCCATATCAATCTTTTTTTGATGTCTAATAGCCGGCAAGATAGCTCTCCTGACTTGGTGCAAAAATTCTTCCTCATTCTTTCTCGGACCGTTTCCATATCCTTTTAGATATTAATCATTGGATATATGGTATATGGCTACAGCATCCCTATTTTGTGCAAAAAGCAAAGGAGTCATGGGATGGGTGTGATGTGGAAGGCTATGAGCGTTTAAGTTCATAAAGCAACTCCAGTTTCTGAAAGGTAAGCTTAATATCTGGAATTAAGTGTTATTTGGTGACATTGGTGTTAAGGAAAAAGAAAGAAATTTGTGAAAAAATCTCTTTCCTCAATAAAGTAGCCTTTGTCAATGGCATTTTTGAAGACCAGATGAGGCTGATTATCATCTTTGAGAATGAGTTTGAGGAGGTTCTTGTTAAAGAGGAAATCACTTGGATGTAGAAGTCTGCAATTAAATGGTAAAGGATGGTGATGCTAATGTGGATCTCTTTCATAGGATGCTAATGAAAAAGGAGGAAAATTTGCATCAAGGAATTTAAGATAAAGGATGGTAGAATTGTAAGACCTTTCTCTATAGGAAGGGATCTCATTGAACTTTATAGGAATTTATGAGGATAATAATAATCCCTTCTTGGAGGGCATTGCTTGGAGTTCTATAAGTGGGGAGAGATTAGTGATTAAAGAGACCTTTTAGTTTAGAGGAGGTAAAGATAGCAATTTGGGCCTTGGCTTGGGTAGGGCTCTTGGCCCAATGGTTTCTCCATTATTTTTTGCCAGAACTTTGGGAATTGTGTTATGAGTGTTTAATGAAGGTTTTGAGGAATTGTGTCCTAATGGGGAAATTACAAGCATGAACTCTACCTATGTTTCTCTAGTTCTCAAGAAGGAAAGGTCTAAAGTCCTTAATTTTCACCCAACCATCCTTGTGACTAGTGTCTGCAAAATTATACCTTTCGTGGGGATTGAGAAACATGTTGAGTGATAACATTTCCTCTAATCAAAGTGATTATCTTTATGCTTCCCTCATTGGTAATGAAGTGTAAGAGGATGTCGAGAGGTCTAAAGTTAGTTTCAAATTTTGACTTTGAAAAACCTTATAATAGGAAAATTGGACTTTAGAAATGGTTTAGTGATAGGTGGTGGAGGTGGCTTGCAAGATGCTTAACTTTAGTATTTTTGCAGTCATTGTCAAAGGAGAGCCAAAAGCGTGGTTTCGAGTGCAGAAGTGGATCAGGTAGGGGACCTTCTTTTCCTGTTTCTTTTTATGATTGTGGTTGATGTTCTTAGTCAAATTTTGATTTTGGGTTTTAAGAGGGGTTTGCTGAAAGGAGAAAATGTTAGGTAGAGAGAATTAAAATTTCTCAGCTGTGGTTTGCAGAAAATACTATTATGTTTTCACATGTGCTGACCCTATTGCAAGTTCTTGAGAGCATTTCAGCGTTACTCATCAACTTAACAAGAGCAGCCTTGTGGGAACTAATACTTAGGATAGTGTCATTAGAGGGTTTGTTGGCCTAATTGGATATGGAGTGTTCTTTTGACCTCTAAACTATTTAGGAATTCTTTGGTGGTAGAGTTTTCAGGTGATTTCAGTGTTGGAAGGGAGGGTTTTTCTCTTTGGGAGGTAGGTTATTCTTATTCATGTTTGTATGTCTAGTATTTTCTTATATTGCCTCTTTGTTTAGGATCCTTAAGCTGGGGGCTGAGTAACTTGAGAGGATCATAAGGTCTTTGTCATGGTTTTTTGGCTATTGAAATGTCTGGTGAGATGAGATGTGTGTGTCTTTCTGAAACGGATTGTGGATTGGGTATTGGGAATGTTATGTCTAGAAACCTGTATTTTTCTTCGGAAACCTTTTCTTTGTGGCACAAGGTGATTAGGAGTAAGTTCAAGTAGCAGAGAAATGGTTGGGTTATTAAAAAAACTAGGTGTACCATGATTCATGGGAATCTCTTCATTCCCTTAACCTACTAAAAGTGAGTGGCTCAAGCCTCTTGTCTTGAAAAGATATATGGATCGTTGATCTTCCCTTTGCTAGCCTTTTCCCGTACCTTTATAACCTCTCATCTCATCATAAAATGCTCCTATCTATCACTACATTAATCATCTTAATAGTTACATATCTTGGAATTTCTTTTTCTTTGGGAATTTAAATGACCAAGAGTCAGATGATATGCCTTTTTCCTTTTAGTCATATTCTTGAGCCCTTTATTGTCTTTCCACATTCTGATAGCAAAATTCCGATATTAGATTCCTCGAGTGTATAGACCTGCAAGTCCCTTTTTACTCATCTTACCCATAATTTTAGGTCTTAGAATGAGAATTTTCGCTACTAAATTTTGGAAGGCTAAAGTTCCTTGTAAGAGAAAGGTTTTTGTTTGGATTGTTGTTCTTAATTGCCTCAACACTTTTGATCTGTTACAAGAACTCTGGCCGAACTATGTTCCCTCCCTGATGTGTGTATTATGTGGTTCAAGAATGTAGAGTCCAATGGCATCCCTTTTAGCATTATGAGGTGGCTGAAGGCTCTTGTTCAACCTTTTTAATACTTTTGGCTCTATCTGTGTTTCTCCCACTTCCCTTGATTTTTTCTCACTTTGTCCAATCTGGCGCTAGATAGGGGAATTGCACAAAGAAGGAAGCTGAAGTGCTTTGGAGAAGCTCTTTTCACTGGCTTATTCGTATTATGGTTGGAGTGAATGCTAGACTTTTCAAACATTGATGCTCCCCTCAACTTTTCTTTTGGTGAGGAATGATATTTTTTGGGTGGGTCACTGCTGATGGGTTCACTTAGAATGTCCCTTTAGTTATATTGCCAAGGGACTTGATTATGGCTCTGTGTTAACTTTTATGTCTTTTTTTTTTTTTTTTCAAGGAACAAATTAATTTACCATTTTTGTTTGAATAGGAGGATTTCATCAGAAAAAGATAGTCTAGTTTATCCTATGTCAATTGATAAAAAAACCAAATCTTGATTTAGTATCACATCCCGAAATCTCAAAACCTTTGCCATACTTGCGAAGCTTAAGGAATCCAAAGAATGACTTCAAATTAATTTTCTATCATTTTTTATTTATCTAGAAAAATTCTATTATTTTTTATCCATCAAACTCATAACCCTATATTCTTAGGTCTAATATCTAAGAATCCCTAGTTTTAACACAAATCCCCAAGTAGGCAAATTTAACCATAGTTTGTGCTATGTCATTATGTCTGTATGTATCCCTTAAGTCTCATGTTTGTAACAAAATTATCTTTTGGTTATGATATTCATGATATATTTATGGGTGAAGGTGTATGGTATCTCCAATGTTTGCTATATGCATCCGTTGCCTAAATATGATCTTTGACCAGGACACGCACCTACTACTCACTGGTGGACTTGAGAAAGTTCTCCGTGTATTTGATTTAAATCGTCCAGATGCACCTCCCAGAGAAGTTGACAAGTCTCCTGGTTCAGTCAGAACTGCTGCCTGGCTTCACAGTGATCAGACAATATTAAGTTCCTGTACTGATATTGGTGGCGTAAGGTACAAAATATAACTCAAAGTCTGTCTGTATGTGCTCTGATTTTCTAGATTTTGCCAGCTGCTTTTCTCTCTACGGTTGGTTGGATTGGATCTTTATGTTGGTTTCTCTATTTCAAATATTCACAAGATATTAACTAGTTTCTGTTCTTCTTTGCATCCGTTCTAGCAATAGTCTAAAACTTAGTTGTTACTATATAAATCTAGATGTAATCTACTTCAGTTTGTTTTAATATTCAAGTTACTGTCTTATTTGCTTTATTATCCTCTATAACTTTGCATTATGTGTTCCTTTTATTTTCCTGTTTGCTGGTGTTCTTGTAGGTTATGGGATGTAAGAAGTGGCAAAATTGTTCAAACACTAGAGACCAAGTCACCTGTAACCAGCGCTGAAGTGAGCCAGGATGGACGCTATATAATCACTGCTGATGGATCTACTGTTAAGTTTTGGGATGCAAATCAGTAAGTTTTAGATAAGATGCTCTTAACTCTTGTCTTTTTTGGAATTTAGCTGATCTTTCCTTTTTCCCTGTTTTTAAGCTTTGGATTGGTGAAGAGCTACAATATGCCCTGCAATGTTGAATCAGCTTCATTAGAACCAAAGCTTGGGAATAAGTTCATTGCTGGGGGAGAAGATATGTGGGTCCATGTGTTTGATTTTCACACTGGCGAGGAGATTGGTAGGTCATTTTATGTGTTTTTCTTTTCATAAAACATGCATGCCAGTAAGTGTTTGTGGAATAAGAATGAGGATGATAGTTGAAATGAAATCAGAGTTTGGAAAGAACAAAATGTTTTCAGTGATATTTAAAAAACTATTTTTGTTTGTGCCTCATTACTCAAACACGCATTAGTATATATGTTTTCATGAGTAACACATGTACAGACATGTATGAATTCAAAAAATAAGAAGTAAATTATGTATGCATGTATCAAATGGAACCTAGTTATGCATTTACTATCTGTTCGATGCATTTTTGCAAATTGCTGTGTTTACTGTTTTTAACTAATATGGCAACGAGTTGGAGGAATTTAAATAGCTCTTTTGAGATTAAATGATTTGCATTCATTTGAATGCTCCTTCAAGCGAATACATATTGTAAAACTTGTTTTGTAGTTTTAAGCTTTTTCTGACCATGTAACAAACATGTAAACATTTTTGCTGTGGATGAAGGATGCAACAAAGGTCACCACGGTCCTGTCCATTGTTTGAGGTTTTCACCTGGAGGGGAATCATATGCTTCAGGGTCTGAAGACGGTACCATCAGAATATGGCAACTTAGTCCTGCAAATCACGAAGAGCATGACTCACATCCGGGGAATGGGCCAACTGGGAAAGTAAAGCTTGTAGCTGATGAAGTTGTTCGGAAGATAGAGGGATTTCATATCAACAAGGAAGGGAAGAACGGAGAGAAGGACAAGGCAACAGATGCCTGACATAGCCTTATGTCTCTCAACTGAAAAAGAGTTTGCTTCTTGGTTCATTACAGGTCTTTTGGGTGGGACATCCTTTGGATTTTTGTGTGAAAACAAAATGGACTCTTTGTTCTTATTTCTATTAGGTTCTGTTTATTTACCTGAAAATTAAATTTGATAATTTTTTCTTTCTGAATCCATGTTTGGTTGGTAGGAAAATGAAAAGCCAATAGGAAAAACTTTCATACTCAAAAGAAAGACAAAATATTTTTTTAATTAGAAAATCAGAAAGAAACTAAACATAAGAAGTGTTAAAATTTTAAGGATTAATTTAATAATTTAATTTAAAAATAATTAAAAGATAAATAATCCGGTTGTACTAAGAATTATTGCTATTTCTTATGCCTTTTCTTTTCTGTTGATTATTTTAATTTTATTATTGAATTTTCAAAATAAATTTGGTAAGTATTAATATAAATGAACAAGTTCTTCATATTATTATCAATAATTTGTATAGTTTTTTATTTTCTGTACAAATTAAAATGATTTTAGTTTAAGTGTGCAATAAAAGAAAATATTATCTACATAACAATAAATTTGAGTTGCATTTTTAATAAAATAGATAAAATTATTACGTAAATTAAATTATAATTAGTTAAGAAAATGGATTCAGTTTACTGTATATCAATCCCTTCCACCTTCTCAGAGTACTTTTCTCCATCGCAACAATGGCTGCATCCATGGTTGGTGGAGCTTTCCTCTCAGCTTTCCTCCAGGTTCTGTTTGATCGGATGGCTTCTCGTGAGATTTTAGACTTCTTTTGCTTCAGAAAACTCAACATTGATTTGCTCAAGAAGTTGAAGCTCACTCTGCTTTCCATTAAACCCCTGCTCGATGATGCTGAAGATAAGCAGATAACGGATCCAGCAGTCAAAGAATGGCTTGATGAACTCAAAGATGCAGTTTATATTGCAGAGGACCTCCTGGATGAAATCGCCTTTGAAGCTTCACGGTGCTTGTTGGAAGCTCAAGACAAAGCAGATTCAAGCCAGGTATGGAGTTTCCT